GCCATGAAACAAACATTTGGGTCATGAAGAGCAAGTTTGGCTCCTTCTTCATCACTATCCGAGTCACTTGGTTCGGATTCTTCCCATCCGGCATACATAGCCTTCTTCTTCTTGTACTTCATGTACTTTTCTTTGAGCTTGGGGCAATCCTTAGCGATGTGACCCGGTTCATTGCACTCAAAACATTTACCTACACGAGAGGAAAACTTGTTGTTAGATCGAGGGTTAAATTTTTTGTTCATTTTTATAAGTCTAGAGATTCTTCTAGAGAGATGAGCCACTTCTCTAGAAAAATCGACTTCACTCTCCGACGATGAAGATGAGTTGTCACTAGCTCCTTTGAGAGCTATGGTCTTCAACTTTGGTGACGGCTCCTCAACTTCTCGTGATGGCACTTCCTCCTTCTCCTTCCCCTTGAGCTTCTTCTCATGCACTTTGAGCTTTCCGATAAGGCTATCAAGAGCTAAGGTAGTGAGGTCATGAGCTTCCTCAATGGCCGTAGCCTTGGGCTCCCATGCCGGAGTCAATGAGCGAAGTATCTTGTAGTTCATCTCTTGAATGGATAATTGCTTATCTAGACCATGTAATTCATTGATGATATTAGTAAAACGGGAAAACATAGCATCAATGGATTCATTAGGAAGCATTTTAAATAGCTCATAATCATGCATGAGTCCACTAATCTTAGATTCCTTAACTTGGGGTGTTCCTTCATGTGTGACACATAATTTTTGCCAAATTTCGTATGCGGTTGCACACGTGGAAACCCTATTGTATTCATTGGGGGAAAGACCACAGATTAAGGCGTTCATGGCCTTAGCATTTAGATTGGCAAGGTGCCTTTCATCATCGGACATGTTCTCAACTTTGGACTTCTCTACATATTTCTTTTCTATAAGCCCTAGGATGTCAAGATCAATGCAACGAAGATAAATTCTCATTCTAGCCTTCCAATAAGCAAAATTTGTCCCTGTGAAGAGTGGTGGTCTAGTGGTGGATTGTCCTTCTAACATGTGCATATTCAAAGAAGCCTCCATTAGATCTTTTCTCTAAGGTTGTTAAACCAAAAACTGATATAGAGACCAAGCTCTGATACCAATTGTTGGACCCTAGAGGGGGGGTGATTAGGGTCAAGAGGCTCTAATATGCAATTAAAAAACAGCACAAGCAAACCACAAACAGAAATGCGATAAAAGTAAGAGAGATAAGGTTAGGAGTTCGTTATCCTTGACGCGCGATGTGTTAACGAGGTTCGGCCCTCTGGCCTACGTCCCCGCTCCCCACTCTCGAGGAGAAATCCACTACACACCCGGTTTGGAAGCCGGAACTTCGTCTACACAGCGATCTCCACAGATCTCTCTCACTACACAGTTTGATCTCACAGATCACACTCCCTCACAGTAGATCTCCACAGATCTCACTCACACAGCAGAAGAAAGAAATGCAAGAACCTCTCTTTACACAGCCCTTATAGCAAAGAGAAGGTATACTGAAGCTGGGAGGTGAATCACACTTGAAACAGAGAGAAAAACAGAGTTTTGAAAATTTACTCAGGAAACAGAAAAAGCTCTCTGGTTTTTCAAACGTTAGGGCTGGGAAGAAGAAGAGGTCTGGGGGGTTTATATAGAAAAGTTTAAATCATTTTAAAACAAAAATAGATCTTCCCAAATGAGATAATAATCTCTTCTTCAGACCCTCATCACAGACTGTGCCAATCACTAACAAGTGAAAGCACAGTGTTCGATGTAAATGACCGTTTAAAAAAGTCGCGGCTGACCAGAGGCAAAAATTCGGTTGACCGAAGAAAATTTCGGTCGACCGGAAAAAACCTTCGGTCGATCGACCGAAAAATTCGGTCGACCGCGAGCAGCTAAGGAAATTTGGAAAAACAAGCAGAGCCTCATCGGTCGACCGGCACGGTCGACCGATTAAAGATTGAAAAATTCGGTCGACCGTACCGGTCGACCGACGAGACCCTGGAAAAAATGTCAGATCGGTCGACCGGACCGGTCGACCGATTTCTGATATATTCTGAAATCTGATTTTTGACCAACTTGAAATATTTGCAAAATATTCGTTTGACCTCTGAAAATTCTGAAACTTTGTAAAATGTTTTTAATACTAAAAACAAACTGTTTGGAAAAAGAATTTTGCAGATAGGTACTCATACTTGTGAAAAATAGTATTTTGTGAAAAAAACGCTTAAAAGCACAAGTCTAAAACCGTGTGTGTGATTCCCAATAGCTTCAAGTAAACTCAGTAACTCTTTGCCTACATTCTAGCACTAGAGAGAAAAACAAAAGAAAGCTAATATCCTAATATAGAGAGCAATATACTTGAGCTTTGATATAGCTTGAATCGGATGAAGCTTTTAATCGAATTTGACGTTCTTGAAATAACGTTGCTTCATCTCTTGGCCTCCTCCTCCTTTGGATATCTTCGTTGTAGCATATATTCCATCCATCCTCCATTAATGGCAGAATTTACTACATTTATACTCAATAAGCCATTAGTACCGATAATGGTGGTTGTAAGAACATCATCAAAACATAAGGGCTAACATCCGTCTCTCCTGCCTCTCTGTGCGGTTGAGATCCTCCAGAACTTCCGAACCCGTGCGGTTTAGATGCTGAAAATCCAACCCTGCTGCTGCCTCTCCG